TCCGTTTTCGCAACTGTGCAACAAAATCATCGTCCACGGTCCCTCAGACCGTGGACGATGATTTTGTGGAATTGCTAGCCACCAGGAACTCGCCTGGTAGGCGTAGCGGTTCCCCATACAAAACTTCTGCAGCTGACGTTTTGATGTCATTTTTTAGTGCCGCCCTGATTCCGAGAAGAACGAAAGGTAGGGCATGGTACCAAGAACTCTTGTGACACATTAAAGCGGCCTTTAATGGCGGTGGAAACGCGCTATCATCCCATTAGCTTGGGGATGATAGCTCGTAGTACGAACGCGTTTTGGGCTCCTAAATCCATTAGTCTGTTGAAAAGTTGGGACTCAAATTGACGTCCCTGGTCCGTTGTGACAGTGATCGGTACACCAAAGCGAGCGATCCAGCCATGGGTGAATTGATCAGCGACTTCTACTGCGGTTATCGACGACAAGGGCCAAACTTCGGCCCAGCGTGAGAAACGGTCTACTGCTGTTAGGCAATAAGTGAATCCGTTTGAAGAAGGCATCGGTCCAATAATGTCCAGGTGAACATGACGGAATCTGCCTGAAGGTGTGCTAATGTTGCCAAGTGGTGAAACGACATGGCGCGTTACCTTGCTGCTCTGGCAGGCGAGACATTCGCGTGCCCAGGAGCGGCAGTCTTTAGCAATGCCTGGCCAAACATAGCGGTCGCTAATGAGGCGCGCGGAAGCGCGTGCGCCGGGGTGGCTGAGACCATGTAGGCGATCGAAGACGGCTCGCCGATATTGTTTTGGCAAAAAGGGTCTAGGTTTGCCTGTTGACACATCACACAAAACGGAAATGTTGGATCCAGGTATGAGGGTTGGCTCTAACTGTAAAGAAGAATGGACCTTTACGGTTTTAAGTTCGTCGTCCGTCTGCTGAGCTTTTGCCAGGGCTGCGAAATCGTCATCGAGCGTGATAGCCTCAATGCGGGACATTGTGTCAGCAACGATGTTGTCTTCCCCCTTCACATGTTTGATATCAGTTGTAAACTGGGAAATAAACGTAAGTTGGTTAAGTTGAGCAGACGTGCTGGAGGCGTCCGTGTACAACCCTAAACAAGCATTTCGTTCGAGGATGTACAAGCATGGTGGCCTCTGAGAGACTGTCGCGACACTCGTAGAAAGCACGCTCCAAGTCTGCTGTCCAGGGCATAGCTTTTGAACCTTTTAGGTTGCTGACTGTTAAAAAATCCACAAGTGGAGCTTGCAGCTGGCGGCTTTGGGAAGAAATTGGCGGTAATAATTTACCATCCCCAGGAACCGTCTCAAACCTTGAGCTGTTTTGGGAAGCGATAACTCGCGGAGAGCAGCGATCTTCTCTTCAGGTGGGCAGATACCATCCTTGGTTATCTTATAACTAGGAAGATTACCTCACATGCCCCCAATACGCACTTATCCACATTGACAACGACGCCATAGTCCACCAGTCTTTGCAGGATTATGCGCAGGTGTTTGGCGTGCTCTTCAGCATCCCGTGAGAATACCAAAATATCGTCAATGTAGGGAAAAGCGAAGTCTAGTCCGCGCAAGATCTCATCGATGAAACGCTGGAAGGTTTGGCCAGCGTTGCGTAACCCAAATGACATATAGGGAAACTCGAAAAGACCAAATGGCGTTATTATGGCCGTTTTGCAAACATCTGGACCAGCTACCGGAATCTGCTGGTAGGCCTTTACTAGATCTAATGTGCTAAATATAGTAGAACCAGCCAGATTATGACTGAAGTCTCCTATATGACGCACAGGGTACCGATCGGGAACTATCCGAGCGTTTTTAAGAGCCTGTAGTCACCGCAAGGACGCCACATGCCATCCTTTTGGGTGCTAATGCAGTGGTGACGACCAGGGGCTTTTAGATGGGCGAGCAGTACCCGCCGACACCATGTCATTAAATTCCTTCTCAGCAATTTTTAGCTTGTTGGGTGCTAGTCGACGAGGACGCGACGTGACAGGCGGCCCACTAGTTGTCGTTATATAGTGAACAGTGCTGTGTTTTATTTGACGGTCAGCTGTAAGTGGGCGCGTCACTTCCGGAAAGTCTAAAAAGAGTTGATTGAACAGGGAATCGCGAGACGGTTTTTTTTACGGTCCTAATACTTGGCTGCATTATATTGCGGTTACAACAATATGCGGATAAGTTTGTAAGCTCATCGCGCAGTGTGCCGCTACGGCAGTCGGTAGGAGGTGGAAGAAAGCTAGGAAATCCGAACCGATAATTGGGACATCCACGTCAGCACAAATAAACTCCCAGCGAAATTCACGGCGCAGTCCTAAATTGAGGTTCAGATTAACTGTGCCGTAAGTTTTAATGGAGCTGCCATTTGCCGCATTGAGAGTAAGTCCTGTATTTGAGAAACGTCCTTTTATAAGTTTTCGTGGAAAATAACAAATGTCCGAACCGGTATCTATCAAAAAATTAATTTTGGTATTTTGATCGGTAATAAAAAGGCGTTTGCTGGGCTGTGCACGGTCGGTACTTGCCACGTCCGACCGCTCCCTTAGTTTAAAGGTTTGGTAGCTCCTTCAATGGTCCAGCTGCATCCTGGTATGCATTTGCTTGCTTTGTTGCCGAAACGATCGTGGTACCAGCAAAGCTTCTGATTACGTGGGCGTGAGCGCGATCGAGAGCGGCTCCGCTTTTGATTAACGCGTGAGCTCCCAGATCGTTCATGGGTGTTTGTTCTGAGCGCTGAGACTGTTAGCGTCAATTCCTCGATCTGCCGCTGCATTGACGCGAGAGTGGGCTCAAAGGTATGATGCGCCGAAACCTGGCTCACGGTGGTAGGCCTCTCGGTCAACTCCACCAACTGGTCGGCCATCTCCGCCAACTCCGTCAAGTCCTGGATCTTCTGTGCGGCCAACACAATTTGAACCTGCCGGTGAAGCCGATTGGCCCAAATTGATCGCAGCAAGTCAGCGGGGAACGATTGCCCAGCCAGACTCTTCAAGTGTCGCATGAACGAAGATGGCTTGCGGTCACCTAACTGTTCCTTTTCTAGTAAGCGCCGCACCTTCTCCTCGAAGGAATCGGAGAATCTAGATATGATTGCGCTTTTTAAAATTGTGTATGGTTGCAACTCGGGAGGATGTGTGATAATATCTTCGACCTCCTTCGTACACTCGGTATCTAAATGCGCCACGGCGAAATGAAACTTCGTCATTTCGACGGTAATTTGGTTAATGTGGAACTGCGCCTCTAGGCTAGCAAACCACAATGCGGGCCGATCCTTGCTAAAAGGCGGGGTCCTAATTGCGACCCTGTTTACGTAAATGGGACTGCCACCGACTAGTGCAGTAGCATCACCCTCGTTGCCAACGTGGCCCTCTGAAACGTTAGATTCTCCTTGACTCGCCATGGTTTAAAGGTAAAATCAGAAACGGTCAAATCGCAAAAAACGCTTTACACATACACGCAGTGGAACAAATCGGTAAATACACAAACGAAACAATTTCAGTATTGCGCAGCAAACGTAATAATAAAATTGGTAGAAAAGTAAAATAAGTCTTAATACCACATAAAATGATACTATCTTAAGTGTAAAATAGCACTAAACTTTCACTTGAACGAGTGTAAACGCAGCATCCGTCGCGAAGTATCAGTGGAGAGCTGTTAGTCACCTGACACAATGTTGCGGGTGATTGCCGCGCGTGGCGCGCTTTTCAACTTCCTCCTCGTCAAAGATGACGTAGCTCCGGTAGAAAGAAAAATGGCCGGCCTCGATGCGAAAAATGCCGGCTCAGCGCTACATAGAATGGACAAAATACGAGTCCAATAGCGATGTAGATTATCGTAGATGCGTTTACAGTTGTTGCGATTATAGCTTCATGGCTGTTCTGTACAATCTCCCTCGCAGGCTATACCATAGTCTCACTCGCAGGTGGCTTTTCTAGTCTCCCTAGCAGACTTCTCTGCACGGAGGGAAAAACAAAAAGAAGGAAGCGTACCTAGGCGGCGTCGCAGATTGGAACAAACCTCGATTATCGCGGAAATTGTTGTTTCCGAGCGAAACTGCAGAGCGTAGCGACGTGGGCTCCGATGTTGCGCATATTTATCACATCACGTCGGGGTCACCAGTTTGGGAGCCGGCAGGAGGGAATAATTAAGATGCAGTACAAAGAACAAGCCGTGTTGAGAAAAACATCATCTTTTTATTGTCACTCGTTGCTATAGAAATTTGTCAATAATAGGATAATGCTAGACCGATGAGAGTAAGGGTGTAAAAGATAAGAGCGGTGCTACACAGTAGCAAATGAGTCGCCACAAGTTAATATAATAAGAATAGTCATCCCTACTATTCTATTATGCTAAGTTAAAAAATATATCGATATTTATCGTATCGACATGAAAAACTATTACTACTAAACTATAATTATCGAGGAAAGATATCGATATATCATCAGTTTTCGCATTATTATTTACAAACGTGTAAAAAATTTGTAATAAATCATAGACATGAAGAAAATAGTTGAAAAGATTTTTTAAAGTTAACGATGCGCGAGGAGATGCAAAGAGTATCTAATAATATTAAACAAGGAAGCAGGGTTGCGTTAAAAATATATCGAAATTGACATGAATTCGGTAGTCTAAATCTCGAATATCGATATATCGCAATAAAAAATATCGATTATATATGTCGATAACAATTGTATGGAATTATTATTTTTATCGATGTCAATGTTATATTAAATTTAAACTTAAAACTTGACTTCACATGTTGTCTGTCTGTTCATTCACTGTTGTAAGTTACAACAACTTGTAAGTTGTTTGTCAGTGTGTATAGTTGTTTCGTGATTTTGTGTAACGTGTATTACTTTTGAGTTTCTTCAAAAGTTTTTACTTTACCTGGACTGTTTATGGACTCTGATATTGGTCGACAAAGAATTCTGAATTTCCGCTCAATATGACTATAGGGCTTTAGGTTATACTGCTATTCTTTTGGACAATTCTGCCTCTTGTTTTGTGCATCAATTATTTAACACGATGGGAAGCCGAGTAAATCCTGCACGCATATTGTGTGTGAATTGCAACGTTTGTGTTAATAAATTGCGCCGATACCCTGCATTGGCGCTTGATTTGAGAGTAACTGCTTTAATCTGCAGCTGGGTGTACCCACAAATTGTAAGTATTGGTATTAAAAGATAAAACAGACAGAAACATTTAAATTCATCATTAATTAGTGTTCTAAACATTATATTTTTTGTTTAAAGGTTTTAGAAGATGACTATGTATGTGAGGCATGCAGAGATCTTGCAATAACTGCAGTTAATATTAATTTACGTGAAGTTCCTGGCAATGAAGAAGCTGGACCAAGTACAAGAAAAAAAGGCCATAAAAATGTGTGCCTCTTATGTGGATGTTCACTACTGATAAGACAGAGTAACAAAATTTTACGAGAAAATCCTACTGATGTGCAGCAATGTGTGAAGAATATTATAGAAAGCAGAGTTTCACAAGAGGTTTGTATATTTATGTAATTTATATAGTTTTCTAAATAAAACTAGAAATTTAGGTATATATAAAAAGTACAAAAAATAATTTACGACTTGAAAAATCAGTTTTGAGAAGGAATTGTTAGGAATTTGTCAATGCTAATAAATAAAAATGAATGTTAGTAAGTGCATAACTAAAGAATGGCCAACTTGGCTAATTTAATTTTTTGTATGTTTCTTAAGGTGAACCATCTACTCACTTGGTAACTGTTCACATAAAAAAAAATAAGAAACAGTGTTGCACTGTATAATTTTATGGTGTATAAAATGAAGGTGATTATTTTAATATAACATGGATAAAAAATGTGTTATACTAGTGATCCCAACAGACATTGTCTTGTATTAGTCTTAAATCTGAAAGTATAATTTTTTTTAATAAGTTTATAAATCTAAACCATTCTCAAATCGACCTGAAGACACAAGAATTCTTGATGGTCAATTATTGCGCTAATTTATTGCATTCAATTATTGATCTGGTATATACAAGAAAATGGCATCACAATGGTGTAAATGGGCCTTTACTTTTTCAGGCAAAAATTACTGATTTGAATGAAACTTTACAATAATATGGCTTATATATCAGAATAACACATAGGCCAAAATTTATAAAGATATTGTGTGAAATGTCCAAAATATATGTGATGATAAGTGTCAACTAAGTAGAAAAAAAATTAGCCATCAGCGAGTTATTCTGGTGTAAAATAAAAAAGTCATTGTTAATTCTTTTCCAGTTCGCCGCGCGGGCGAAGCCGCGGTTAACAGCTAGTTATATATATAAGGATTTGTTACAAAGGCAAATATGAGCTATGTACTAGTGTATACATATATATTTTATTATGATTAATGCTTTCTTTTATTTACAGATATCTTCATCAGATGAATTATGTCAAGCTTGTTGGCTACGCATAAAAAGAGAGGTGATTCGTGTGAATCGTCAAGACGAAACCGCACCTCAATTGAATAATTTAACAAATCAGGATTTACAGCGAGAACAAGGCCACTTCCAACCCTCACCTGTTACTCAGTATAAACAAAAAACAACATTGGACTCGCAAAGAATTGTGTTACCCAATTATCGAAGAGCTGCGAATTCCACAAACAGATGTGTCTTTCCAAATTGCACCAGTACCACTCTGCATAACATATCGGACAAACTGAGAGCTACTGTTCTACTTAATCATAATTACTATTTACCAAAATTAGCACGGATTTGTAAAAATCATTTGAGTAATAATTCATGGGATACATTATATAATTCTGAAAATAGTATGGAGACATTTAATGCTGATCAAATACAGCATGTATTATCATTTTTAAAGTTGGTCCTACAATCTATTTTGAAAATGTAAGAGATAGGGATGAAAGAATTTTGAACACTGAATATAAAAGAAAAATTGAATATATAGATGAAAGAATATGGACTTTAGTTCATGTGCTACAAAAATATTGATATATCGATATTTTTTGACAAAGGATTCAAATTTTTGCTATAGTGTTCCCCTAATACTACTATAATGTTTGCAGTTATACGGCTATTCTTTTCAACTACAATTCTGCCTCCTGTATGGATTTGGTGCATACATTTTTTAAACATAATGGGAATCCGAGTAACTCATATCGTGTTTGTATTGATAAATCGCGCAAAACCCATAATGGTTCTTAATTTGAGAGTTACTTCATTAATCTGCAGCTGGGTGTACACTCAAATTGTAAGTGTCGGTTATAAAAAATAAAATATTCTAGAATCATTTAAATTTATCATTATTTAGTGTTCTAAACATTATATTTTTTGTTTAAAGGTTTTAGAAGATGACTATGCATGTGAGGCATGCAGAGATTTTGCAATAACTGCAGTTAATATTAATTTACATAAAGTTCCTGGCAATGATGAAGCTAGACAAAGTACAAGAAGAAAAGGCTATACAAATGTGTGACTCTTATGTGGATGTTCACTACAGATAAGACAGTGACATTAAGAAAGTGTTGCACTGTATAATTTTATAGTATATTAAATGAAGGTGATTATTTTAATATAACATGGATGACAAAAACATGTTATATTAGTTATACAGGCAAACATGAGCTATCTACTAGTGTATACAATCATATTGTTTATTATGGATTAATGCTTTCTTTCATTGTCAGATATATGCATCAGATGAAGTATGTCATGCTTGTGGGCTACGCACAAAAAGAGAGGTGCTTCGTATGAATCGTCAAGATGCAACCACACCTCAATTGAATACTTTAACAAATCAGGATTTACAGCAAGAACAAAGCCACTCCCAACCCTCACCTGTGACTCAGTGTTAACAAACAACAACATTGGACTCAAAAAAAAATTGTGTTACGCAATTATCGAAGAGCTGCCCATTCCAAACACAAATGTGTCTTCCATATTGCAGCAGTACCACAATGCATAACATATCGGACAAACTGAGAGCTACTGTTCTACTTAATCATAATTACTATTTACCAAAATTAGCACGGATTTGTAAAAAATCATTTGAGTAATAATTCATGGCATACATTATATAATTCTGAAAATAGTATGGAGACATTTAATGCTGATCAAATACAGCATGTATTATCATTTTTAAAGTTGGTCCTACAATCTATTTTGAAAATGTAAGAGATAGGGATGAAAGAATTTTGAACACTGAATATAAAAGAAAAATTGAATATATAGATGAAAGAATATGGACTTTAGTTCATGTGCTACAAAAATATTGATATATCGATATTTTTTGACAAAGGATTCAAATTTTTGCTATAGTGTTCCCCTAATACTACTATAATGTTTGCAGTTATACGGCTATTCTTTTCAACTACAATTCTGCCTCCTGTATGGATTTGGTGCATACATTTTTTAAACATAATGGGAATCCGAGTAAACTCATATCGTGTTTGTATTGATAAATCGCGCAAAACCCATAATGGTTCTTAATTTGAGAGTTACTTCATTAATCTGCAGCTGGGTGTACACTCAAATTGTAAGTGTCGGTTATAAAGAATAAAATATTCTAGAATCATTTAAATTTATCATTATTTAGTGTTCTAAACATTATATTTTTTGTTTAAAGGTTTTAGAAGATGACTATGCATGTGAGGCATGCAGAGATTTTGCAATAACTGCAGTTAATATTAATTTACATAAAGTTCCTGGCAATGATGAAGCTAGACAAAGTACAAGAAGAAAAGGCTATACAAATGTGTGACTCTTATGTGGATGTTCACTACAGATAAGACAGTGACATTAAGAAAGTGTTGCACTGTATAATTTTATAGTATATTAAATGAAGGTGATTATTTTAATATAACATGGATGACAAAACATGTTATATTAGTTATACAGGCAAACATGAGCTATCTACTAGTGTATACAATCATATTGTTTATTATGGATTAATGCTTTCTTTCATTGTCAGATATATGCATCAGATGAAGTATGTCATGCTTGTGGGCTACGCACAAAAAAGAGAGGTGCTTCGTATGAATCGTCAAGATGCAACCACACCTCAATTGAATACTTTAACAAATCAGGATTTACAGCAAGAACAAAGCCACTCCCAACCCTCACCTGTGACTCAGTGTTAACAAACAACAACATTGGACTCAAAAAAAAATTGTGTTACGCAATTATCGAAGAGCTGCCCATTCCAAACACAAATGTGTCTTCCATATTGCAGCAGTACCACAATGCATAACATATCGGACAAACTGAGAGCTACTGTTCTACTTAATCATAATTACTATTTACCAAAATTAGCACGGATTTGTAAAAATCATTTGAGTAATAATTCATGGGATACATTATATAATTCTGAAAATAGTATGGAGACATTTAATGCTGATCAAATACAGCATGTATTATCATTTTTAAAGTTGGTCCTACAATCTATTTTGAAAATGTAAGAGATAGGGATGAAAGAATTTTGAACACTGAATATAAAAGAAAAATTGAATATATAGATGAAAGAATATGGACTTTAGTTCATGTGCTACAAAAATATTGATATATCGATATTTTTTGACAAAGGATTCAAATTTTTGCTATAGTGTTCCCCTAATACTACTATAATGTTTGCAGTTATACGGCTATTCTTTTCAACTACAATTCTGCCTCCTGTATGGATTTGGTGCATACATTTTTTAAACATAATGGGAATCCGAGTAACTCATATCGTGTTTGTATTGATAAATCGCGCAAAACCCATAATGGTTCTTAATTTGAGAGTTACTTCATTAATCTGCAGCTGGGTGTACACTCAAATTGTAAGTGTCGGTTATAAAGAATAAAATATTCTAGAATCATTTAAATTTATCATTATTTAGTGTTCTAAACATTATATTTTTTGTTTAAAGGTTTTAGAAGATGACTATGCATGTGAGGCATGCAGAGATTTTGCAATAACTGCAGTTAATATTAATTTACATAAAGTTCCTGGCAATGATGAAGCTAGACAAAGTACAAGAAGAAAAGGCTATACAAATGTGTGACTCTTATGTGGATGTTCACTACAGATAAGACAGTGACATTAAGAAAGTGTTGCACTGTATAATTTTATAGTATATTAAATGAAGGTGATTATTTTAATATAACATGGATGACAAAACATGTTATATTAGTTATACAGGCAAACATGAGCTATCTACTAGTGTATACAATCATATTGTTTATTATGGATTAATGCTTTCTTTCATTGTCAGATATATGCATCAGATGAAGTATGTCATGCTTGTGGGCTACGCACAAAAAGAGAGGTGCTTCGTATGAATCGTCAAGATGCAACCACACCTCAATTGAATACTTTAACAAATCAGGATTTACAGCAAGAACAAAGCCACTCCCAACCCTCACCTGTGACTCAGTATTAACAAACAACAACATTGGACTCAAAAAAAATTGTGTTACGCAATTATCGAAGAGCTGCCCATTCCAAACACAAATGTGTCTTCCATATTGCAGCAGTACCACAATGCATAACATATCGGACAAACTGAGAGCTACTGTTCTACTTAATCATAATTACTATTTACCAAAATTAGCACGGATTTGTAAAAATCATTTGAGTAATAATTCATGGGATACATTATATAATTCTGAAAATAGTATGGAGACATTTAATGCTGATCAAATACAGCATGTATTATCATTTTTAAAGTTGGTCCTACAATCTATTTTGAAAATGTAAGAGATAGGGATGAAAGAATTTTGAACACTGAATATACAAGAAAAATTGAATATATAGATGAAAGAATATGGACTTTAGTTCATGTGCTACAAAAATATTGATATATCGATATTTTTTGACAAAGGATTCAAATTTTTGCTATAGTGTTCCCCTAATACTACTATAATGTTTGCAGTTATACGGCTATTCTTTTCAACTACAATTCTGCCTCCTGTATGGATTTGGTGCATACATTTTTTAAACATAATGGGAATCCGAGTAACTCATATCGTGTTTGTATTGATAAATCGCGCAAAACCCATAATGGTTCTTAATTTGAGAGTTACTTCATTAATCTGCAGCTGGGTGTACACTCAAATTGTAAGTGTCGGTTATAAAAAATAAAATATTCTAGAATCATTTAAATTTATCATTATTTAGTGTTCTAAACATTATATTTTTTGTTTAAAGGTTTTAGAAGATGACTATGCATGTGAGGCATGCAGAGATTTTGCAATAACTGCAGTTAATATTAATTTACATAAAGTTCCTGGCAATGATGAAGCTAGACAAAGTACAAGAAGAAAAGGCTATACAAATGTGTGACTCTTATGTGGATGTTCACTACAGATAAGACAGTGACATTAAGAAAGTGTTGCACTGTATAATTTTATAGTATATTAAATGAAGGTGATTATTTTAATATAACATGGATGACAAAACATGTTATATTAGTTATACAGGCAAACATGAGCTATCTACTAGTGTATACAATCATATTGTTTATTATGGATTAATGCTTTCTTTCATTGTCAGATATATGCATCAGATGAAGTATGTCATGCTTGTGGGCTACGCACAAAAAGAGAGGTGCTTCGTATGAATCGTCAAGATGCAACCACACCTCAATTGAATACTTTAACAAATCAGGATTTACAGCAAGAACAAAGCCACTCCCAACCCTCACCTGTGACTCAGTGTTAACAAACAACAACATTGGACTCAAAAAAAATTGTGTTACGCAATTATCGAAGAGCTGCCCATTCCAAACACAAATGTGTCTTCCATATTGCAGCAGTACCACAATGCATAACATATCGGACAAACTTCGAGCTACTGTTCTACTTAATCATAACTAGGTACTATTTACCAAAATTAGCACGGATTTGTAATAAACATTTGAGTAATAACCCATGGCATTTATTATATAAATCTGAGAACAGTATGGAGACACATGTAATGCTGCACAAATACGGTATGTATTTTCATTTTTAAAGTTGGTCCTACACTCCATTTTGAAAATGTAAGAGATAGGGATGAAAGAATTTTGAACACTGAATATACAATACTGGATTATCTCAAGAAAAATTCAATTTATTGATTGAAGGAGTACCACATATCTCTCAACTGCGC